GACCGTTAAAAAAAAATTATATATATATAATTGGGTTGGGTTGGGGCCTTAACCCATAACCGACCCAACCCATTATTTTAGTGGTTTTACATTAACCGATTAGAACCGATTTGCTCAACCAAACCGACCCAAACCGACCCGATTCGGTTCGGTTTAACCGGTTTGGTCGGTTTTTCGATTTTTTTGCCCGGGCTTAGTTTCAACTACATCAACAATCTTGCCCTCAATGTAGGAGTCTTGCCTATGTGAATTTTAGCCTTGTCACAGGCTTTAACTACTTCAACAGGCTAGTCATCAATGAAAGGGTCTCAATTAAATGAATTTCAACTTTATCAAAAGCTTCAACTACTTCAACAGGCTTGCCCTCAATACAAGAGTCTCACCTAAGTGAATTTCAACCTTATCAGAGGCTTCAATTACTTTAACATGCTCGCTCCTAATGTAAGGGTCTCGTCTATATAAATTTCAACTTTATCATAGGCTTCAACAACTTCAACATACTCGCCCTCAATTTAAAGGTCTTGCATGTATAAATTTCAGCTTTATCACATGTTTCAACTATTTCAACAGTCTTATCCTCAATGTAAAGGTCTCATCTAAGTGAATTTTAGCCCTATCACAGGCTTCAACTACTTCAACATACTTGCCCTTAATGTAAAGGTCTCGCCATATAAATTTTAGTCTTATCACATGTTTCAACTTTTTCAACAGGCTTACCCTCAATGTAAGAACCTCGCCTAAGTGAATTTCAATCTTATCACAGGATTTAACTACTTTAACATGCTCGCTCTCAATGTAAGAGTCTCGTCTATATAAATTTCACCTTTATCACAGGTTTTAACTACTTTAACAGTCTCACCCTCAATGTAAAGGTCTCGCTTATATGAATTTCAGCCTTATCGCATGTTTCAATTACTTCAACAGGCTCGTCATCAATGTAAAGGCCCCGCCTACAATCAATTTGCATAATGCTATGAAAGATCTGCTTATATTAAACATTGTAAGTTCACGCATTATATGAATAATCATGCTTCGACTTGGAGGACTATTATGCTTCGTTATTCCTTTATGACTAAAGGATGTCGAAAATCACAAGTTTAACCAACATAGTGTAACCTATGACAGAAATATAGAACATGCGGCAAAACAGCACATCCCTACCCAGAAGTCATCACATTACATGAGTATCTATAAATAGACTTGGGGAGACTATTGTTATGCCTCTTCTAACAAGGCTCCAAACGTGAGCAAGTGGCAATCACACAACAAGCGAGCATAGGCCGAACCTCTATTGGGTGCCAAACCAATGTACAAGGGGCTGAACCCTTATCGACGAGGAGAGGTAGATAGAGGCTCTTTAAAAGATCTCCTTCACAAGATCTTCTTAGAATATTTGATGTGCAACTCACTACAATAGTTACTCTACTAAATCAACACGTCAAGTCTAGCTCCATATGTGTCAAATTTAGGGCTGTTAAAGGTTATAAAATTAAATGCACCTAAGCCTAGGATTAATCAATTGATATCTATGATAAGGTACCTCAACTGTTAGGATGAAGCTATGTGTTTCTTCATCCAACGGTTCTTACTCATCTACTTATACTATAAAAACTTACACAATGTGTCATTCAAAAGTAATGCAAGTGTATGATCTTAACATACAACTTTTGCAATCTCTCTTTATTCTCTATAATCCCGGATCTGAACCCCTTTTTCTTATGTGACTCACGTCTCAAGCATGTTCCACACTTAAATACGTACTCTTATAAAGCCTGACTTAACCGTTGGAATGTGCGTGGCTGCCCTCACCAAGGATCTATTGACCACATCGACCTATAAAAAACAAGGTCAATAGTTACTATTCAAAAAAAGTTAAGAGCCTGTTTGAGGTCCATTTTTTGTCAAAAATACATTTTGGAATAGTGATTTAATAGAGAATGTTTAGTTAAAAATTAAGGAAAAGTTGTGAATTTGTATGTAATATTATTTTATTGCAGAATGTGAGGTTGAAAATAAGAGAAAAAAATGCATTTTGAAAATAATAGAAATCAAACAAGGGCTAAATGATATTCTTTTACAAATGAAAGTTTAATCAATCACAATAATGTTGCTCATATAGTGTATGTCTCAATTTTTATAGGAAAAAATAAATTATCACTCCAATTAAAATAGAATTATTCTTTTTTAACATAGTCACGTAGGCCCAATCGCCATATACTCCACGCCTATAGGGACGACACATCGCTCCCTGTTTGGATAGGGTCTGCGTGGCTCAGTTCAGGTAGCAGGACTCATTAAAATAATCTAAGTGGTATGCTTATACAAATCATCACTTCTGTTAAAATAATCAATATGTATTATGTACGATACTAGACGGAAATAGGAACATACTCATGTTAATTAGCACTTAGCAACAAAACGAATGAAGACAGTATAATTATATAAATATCATTTAGGCTTTCAACTCTTTCTAAATTAAAAATGATATATAAAATTTGCAACGGATTTACGTGCCTGTCGTTGTTGTTGACAAGATTTCAAATCATTCAACAAATTAGAGATTTCCTCCAAGTAGAATACTTACTTTTTATAGGATTATACTCCAATGTTAGGGATTCTTCACAAATTAAAGACCAGTGACATCTAGGCAATTAGAGTCGAACGAACTGATATGAAAAGGGCAAATGCGTTCTTGGGATCTCGCGTCTTTACTGTAGATATAAGAAATATAATATTTATTGGAATTCTTAGCAAGAAATTGAGGCAAAGAGATCATATCTTCATTCCTCAGTAATTAAAATAACACTACCAAAGGGAAGCATCCCCTCGCCCTCAGTCAGTTTAGTCTAATTTACTGTAAATTCCATATTTGTTTAGTTTGTATATAGTTTTTCCTCATTTACACACTTGTACAAATTTGTATATATATACACTATATCAATGAAAAACATACAGGATTCCTTTTCTACTGTAATTAATTTCTTTCTCCCTATTACCACTTATTCCATTCTATTATTTCACTATAAACACTTTAACTTAAGTCCCCCTTACATTTTTTGCATGCTTGAAGCTAAAAATTTTCCAAGACTTCAAAATCTTGTAACATCCTTCACTTAAAAAGTCTAGATTAATGGCTGCTTCATTGAAAACTTTGTTTTTGGTCATGTTTTGTTTCTTGTCACCACTGGTAGTAACTGGTGACTTGGATTTTGCTGATCAGTTGGAGACGTTGAATGTTCCAATGTTGCAATTTCTAGGTTCTATGAGGTCTAGTATGGACACTGTCCGGCAAGTAATCTCCACGATGTCGAATTTCAAAGGCAAATTCAACGATTTTCAACTCTCTAATGCCCTTCATGACTGTGTCAATCTATTGGACCTTTCATTACATGACTTGAATTGGAGTCTCTCGGCTTCTCATAAGAGAGTTGGTATATTTGCAGCATTTTCCATGTGAAGTATATATATAGCCATCTCAAAGTATTTTCAGAATGGCTAATGTTGTAATTCGTCATGAAAACTTTAGAGTTAAGAAATCACTACATTAAAATATTCCAGTTATTTTTATGACATTTTCTTTTACAAAATCGTCATGAAATTTTTACGTACTGAAAATTTTCTTCTGCTAATTTTTCTCTTGCAGGTAACAAAAAAATAGCCTTGAAAATCTAAGTGCTGACATAAGGGCATGGTTGACTGGATTATTGATAAATCAAGACACTTGCCTAGAAGGCTTTGATGATACAAACAGCGCTATCAAGATTTTAGTTGCCAATTGCCTCAACCAAATAACAAAATTGGTCGAAGATATTCTTTTTGTAAGGTCAGGACACACAATATTAAACCAAAGAACATGAAATACTAAGTGCAGAAATTAAAGAATCAACACAAGAATTATGTCGACCTAAGCCCCAGAGGTTTGACGACCACTTTTAACGCCTACATCCCCCGTTGAGCATCCAACAAGTTGGATAATGCTCAATTGCACTATACATCCCCAAATTAGCAACGAAAGTTACAAATCGTTCAAACAGTACAAAGGATAAAGATAGAACACTTATCTCTCAAATACACGAACAAATCTAGAACAAATCACTCAAGAAATTCCACAATAACCCGATCAATACACAATTCAAATAGAACCTTATTTCCCACAGGTATTCGCACAGAATATCACAATCAGAGAGTCAATACTCTCTCGATTACAGCCTCAAATCAGTTATTAGAGCCAAGCAAGTCAGANAACAGATCTAGGACGAATTACCAAGAAATTCCACAGTATTCCTCTTAATACACAACTCAAATAGAACCTTAGGTCTCACAGATATTCACACAGAATATCACAATCAGAGAGTTAAACTCTCACAATTTACAACCTCAAATCAGAGATTTTAGCCAAGAAAGCCAGAAGAAGAAAACTCTAAGTATTTCTCTTAAAAGGCAGAAGAAGAAAGAATATCTCGAATGATCCAAACGAAAACGATTAGGGTAAGTTTAAGAGCCATCCAGATAGATCAGTCAACCGCCCAGATCTATCCACGTGTCACCACTTAGCAAAAGAATGTGATAAAACGTTATAACAGAAACACTCCTTTGTTAATATAACTTCTGGCAACACACCATTCCAACTAGGGTTCAAATCCCACAATTTCCACCTTGCTGCCAGAATTTGGGACTATTAGTGTAGCCAGGAGCATTCTCATTTTGTTTTTATATACTCTAAGTAACCTGTAACACATCACATAGAATCAACAGATAATATTTTCAAGCATGTAGCAAACTTATGCAAAGGTACAACCTTAGTGCCCATATCAGAAGGATTGAACTGAGTTGCAATCTTACCAATTTTGATAATCCCTTTTGAAATCACATCTCTTATAAAGTGCTATTTAACATCAATATGTTTTGT